TTTTTAACTATGCTAATTCAGTAGATAAAAGCATGTAGCATAAGGAGATACACCTTTGGGCATCATGGGTAGATAAAAAGGTCCCCACCATACTTTTCTTTTTTTTTCCTTCTGGTAGCAGGAATTGAACTCTCGACCTTGCGCTTGCCAGGCAGGCACTGTGCCACTGAGCTAGGAGGAGTCCCCAGCCCCCATACTTTTCTAATAAAACTATATACTTTAGCGTAATGGTAGCTGGCTGTGCATCTAAGTAGCTGTGGGAGGGGCACACAGGAGACAGACTCACTCGGTACAAAGAATTGCAAGATATATGCATTTGTGTCAAAGTGTCAACAGGGGAGGTTTACCCACGGTACAAGCTGTGTTACATTTCTGTGTATAATTTGTCTTATTAAATGTTTTCATTTTTTAAATTACCAAATATTTACTGTTTCCCTTTATATGTACACTATACTCTGAATTCATAAAGATATTTCCTATGTATTATTTTACATGCTCTTTGAGGAAAATGCTGTCATAGTCATTATACACTTGGACAGGTTTGGGCTCTAACGTGTCAGTTGCCATCACTGAAACACACGCCTGAAACAATCGGCTTCTAAAGAGAAATGGTTCACTTGGGTTATAGCTTTGGAGGGTTCAGCCTAGGGCTGGCTTTGCTTGGGCTCCATGGTGAGGCAGCACATCTTGTGGGAAGCAAGTAGCAGAGCTGAGTCACTTGTCTGGGGGCTTTGGAGAGAAAGGAGGTGGTCCCCGCTCAGGGGCCGCGCCCAGCGACTGGAAGGCCTCCGGCGGGGCTTCCTCAGAACCGTCCTACCACCTCTCAAGAGCACCAAGCTGGAGACCGAGCCTGTACCCATGGGCCTCTGGGAACATTCCAGCTCTAAACTCTAGCACCTCAAAGGAGACTTGTGACCTGACCAAGATCTAAGCCAACACTCACCTCCAGCCTGTCTGACATTCCACTCTGTCCCCGCTGACCCACTTACGCTAACCTAATGCAGACCCCATGCCAGCTTCCGGGGTGAGAAAGTATTGCTCTGCTCTCTCTGAGCGGGACGGCAACACGAAGAACTTGGAATACAAAACAGGTGGCCGTCAGAAAGAGGCACAAGTACACTCCATGGGCTGTGGGGATTCTGAGAAAGATACCACTGCAGAAAATCTCGATGGCAGAAATAGGCGTGACTGAGTACAGCACGCCCAGGCACAGACAGGAGGCAGCGGAACGTCAAAAACTGAAAGGACAGTGAGCACGGTGAGCGCAAAGGCAGAAGTAAGGTGCAGAATGGGGAGTTCCGAGTGAGAGGGCATCTGTAAGGCAAGGAGAAGCTGGCCCGACGTAGACTATCAGGGATTTCCAGAAAACCAGATCGACAGGCTATAGGGACAGGGATACGGACACGGACACCGACACAGACACTGACCCTGACACACACCTAGGCCTAGACATAGACATAGAAAAGAAGAGCTACTATAAGGACCAGCTGCAGGCCCGTGAAAGCTAGTGCTGCAGTTCCGGGGCAAACCCAGGACACGAGGACCAGGGGTGGATGGCGTAAGCGCTGCTCCCGGTGCACAGGCCTGAGAATCAGAAGCGGTGAGGCCCACGGGCCAGGGAAGGTGAGCACCCCAGTTCCGGCGGAGAAGAAAGTCGTCTTTCCTTTGCCCTTTTGTTCTCTCCAGGCCCTGAGTGGGTGGGACGGTGCCCTCCGTGTGGAGACGGGTGCTCTGCTCTCTTCAGTCCACTCACTCAGAGGCTCATCTCTTCTGGAAAAGTCCTCAGAGGGGCACCCAGCAATCACGCTGTACCAGCTCTCCGGGCATCCCTCAGCACGATCAAGTAGACACGTAAAATTAACCCTCGCTGTGCTGTATAGCATCTGAATGTCATGGTAAAAATTTCACTTTATTTGCCAAGCACAGGAAGCCCACAGAGAAGCCAAAGGTGCCCCAGCCCGCAGGTCCGTCAGGCCACACTGCGGGGCCTGGGCTGTGCAGTGAGCCTGTGAGCCGTGGATGGAGCGGGCAGTGAAGATCCTTTAAGAAGAAGGAGTGGTGACAATGTTGATACACAGAAGGGCCAAGCACAATCCAGGAAAAACTCAGCGGAGAGAAGACAAGCAACCCCCTGTGTCAAGACTGTTCTTTGAAAGGGAACCATTTCTTCAGACACTTTATGGAGCTTCAGAATAGCAGCATCACACGAGCAGCCCCAGGGCGATTCCGGGGTTGGGCAAGCACCCCTTTTCCGGGGTTGGGAGAGTACCTAGAACTTTCCGCACTCCCGAAAAATGGGATGGAGGCCACTCTTGCCTAGGGGAGCTTTGAGGGCATCCCAGCATTCACCCGGAATGCAGTGCAGGGAGAGGGGCCAGACAAGCTCCAATACGAAGACGCACGTGCTGGTTCAGACATGAGGAGGGAAGTTTTAAACCCAGCCGGGGCTCACCTTTGCATCCCCAGCCAGATCCACAAATGCAGATGGCTTTGTGTCCAGGGCATCGCCTTCTGCTCTAAACAACCCTGACGCGCTCCTTCCCAGCTGTTGGACAGACTGAATAACCCTTTTCTGCTGGCGGCTCTGACAGCCAAAGTCATGTGAGATCGCATCAGCCCTGGATGAACCACAGGCGCAGCAGGTTGCTTCGATGCAGACAGCAGGAGGGAAACAATGGCAGGAGGGAGGATGGCCGCTGAGCTGTGCTCCTGGGGTTCACTGGGGGGCGCAGGCAGTGACCAGCAGCGCGTGGGGTGCACACACATCACACCTCGCCCTGAGCTGGCTCCTGGGTGCTTTCAATCAGCGAGAGCTGTGTCCCGAGGTCAGGCTGAGAACCAGCAGCGAGGCTCAGTCCTGTTTTCCTTGGAGAACACTTTCTGTGTGGCTGCTTGTGTGTGGAAGCACTGAGTTCATCCCATGTTTGCCCACTTTGATTACGACATTGTGCTCATTCAGTTCCCTCTAATACACTTATGTTTTGAAAGCTTAGTGCTACACGACTTTTCCACTTTGAATAGTCATAGCAAGTTCAATAATATTTACCTAGGATGGAGTCACTGAACACGGGAACTACAAAGAAGGCAAAGGCCACCTGAGCCCACTATTGTCATGTCACACATCAGTACAGTGACCAAAAGGATGGCCTGACCGGCCCGACACATGTGTTTTTCTCCCGGTACTTTGAAGGCTGAGACATGAGGATTGCAAGTTCAATTCCAGCCTGGGGAACTCCGTGACTTAATGACAGCCGTTCTCAAAATAAAAAATAAAGAAAGGTCTTGAGTGTAGCGCAGTGTTCAAACCTGGCCCAGGTTCAACCCCCAGCCCCGTACTCCCCCCCCCAAAAAAAAGAATGAGGGATGAAAAAAGGAGTTGTGTGGTGTCAGGCTAGTGACCCTGGCAACACCAGATTGTAAGGCGTGTCCCTCTGCAGCCCTTGAGATGAGCAACGGTGGCCCCACACCTGAAGAGAAGCACCAAGATAAGGACTTAAGCCCGCTCAGACTCACTTCTTACCGAACAGAATATAGTGAAGATATTTGTCACCACACGAGCAGTGTTTGGAACCAAACTTGCAGGAGTGCAGGATCCCAGCTGCAGGCATAGCTGCCACTCAAAAAACAGTAACACGGCAGAAGTAGATTCTTATATCGGTTCTTTTCAGATGCACACTAATAAGTAAATGCAGGAATTATGACAATAAAATTAAATTGTCCCACAGGTAAATTCTTTTCATAAAATATTTTTAAAAAGCAGAGAGAACTAGATGACTTATCTATGCACACACACAACATCGTATGTATAAGTGATACATGTGTGCATATGTCTATGACCAGTACTCAACTAAACTAACCTTCTGTTGGAAAGTTACTGCTCCCTTTTAAGGCTTTTGATTTAATAGCTTTTATGGTTTGTTTCTAGATGTCTCCCCAAAGCTGCACCCACTCATAGGCCATCAGTAGAATCATGGGAGTGCTATAGCTAAATGTGCCCTTAAGAGGCGGGGCCTGGGAGAAGAGGCGGTCATGGGGGCTTGGCCTGGGAAGTTGCACTTCCCTCCTGGATCCACCTTCACTCTCCGCTTCCTGGCTGCCGTGAAGGGAGCAGGTTTTCTCCACTGTGGCCCTCTGTCCTGCCCTCCTGTCTTAGAGCCCGCTGACCGTGCGAGGACTGAGCTTACTGAAACGCAAGCAGGGTAAACCTCTCTCTGTTAAAGTGTGGGTGTCCCGTATTGTGTCCCAGTGACAGAAAGCAACGGAGACAATAAGAAAGTATGTTATTTGTTTAGAAAGAGGTCAAAGCCGTGTATTTGGGCCTTCACATCAGAAAGGCCTGCTCTCCCCAGAAAGAGCAAGGTTTGGGTCTAGGTTTAAGCAAACTACAAACTAAATGCTAGTCCTTTGAAAGAGTCACTTTGACTCATTTCTGCCTTCTTGGACTCGTTTCTGTCTTCTTTGACTTGTAGTGCCCCTTCTGCTTTAGCAATCAGTAAGAAAAAGCTCCCACTTTTCATACCTATATCACCTTTTTTTTTTCTGTATTTTTGAGACAGGGTCTTGCTATGCAGTTCAGGCTGGCCTTGAGCTCACTTTGTAGCCCAGGTTGGCCTCCAACTCACAAGGATCCTCCTGCCTTAGCCTCCCAAGTGCTGGGATTACAGGCGTGCACCACCACGCCTGGCTATGTCACCACTTGATGTCGAGTTGGGTGACACCAAGTCACCCAACTTTCTTTCTTCAGAAACGCTGTCTTGACTTTTTAAAAAAGTTGCTCCTTTGAGTTCCAGGAAAATGGCAGAGAGATGGAAAAGATAGATCAACCTCTCCAAGAGTTGGAATCCAAACACTGGAAAATAACAGCTTGGGGGAGAAAAGGAGAGAGCTGGGTCCCCAGGATCCAGGAAGGATCTGGAGGGAAAATTGGAGCCAACAGAGAACATAAAGGGACAGATCACAATGCAGAAAAAGGAAGGGGGTGAATTGCACTTTCTGTCCAGCTCCTGGCTCATGGCATGAGAGAGGAGGATCGAATCTACAGACACTGTGAAAGCAGGTGACTCCAGAGGCCTTCAGGGAGAAATGCACCAGTGCCACAGAGCTGTGGATGCCATGCAGTACAAGAGCTGGTGAGTGACTGCAGCCCAAGCAACTGTCAGGTCCCCTGGAGAGGGCGCTTGGCCAGATGCCATTTCAGGGAGGGACCAGCTGAGCCTGGGACTCAGAGCAGCTGTGGGTTGGCTTCATCTCAGGGCACCCAGTGTTGAAATCTCAGTGACTGGGCATGGACAGCCACAGGAGACATCCAGGGCCAGGGAGTCATGGTCAGGCCAGTAAGAGACACCCAGAGTGTTGTAGGCTGAACAACTCGGGCCCCAACCCCACAGCCAGAGGCCAGGATCAGCCTCAGCTTCTGTGGAGTTGAAAGCCAGCATCAACACCCTGCCCATTCCTGCTGCAGGCTTGCTGGGGTTATCTAGCACCCCACCTAATCCTACTGCAGGTTTGCTGAGGTCAGCCAGCATGGATCTGGCCTCTTGTCTGCCTCCTTTGTCCACCAGTGACAGCAGTCAGGCCCTGATTGGACACTGCCACAAATGGTAGAGCCCAGAAGATTTCACAGGCTTGAAATCACAGAGAAATCTTTTGTTGTTGTGGGTTTTTTTTGCTTTTTAATTCGTGGGTTGTTTTTTTTTCTTCATGAGTGTGAACATTGATTTTAGTTGTTTTGTTGTGTTTTTTTTTGTTTGTTTGTTTGTTTTCTCCTTTCTTTCCCTCCTGTCTTTTTTACTAGTTTCCTCAAGCTTGGATAATCTTCCTTTGTTCTTCAACCTTGATTCTAATCTCTTTCTCTTATTTCTCTATTTTATTCCTCTTATCCCTTTTAAATTTTCTCCCCTGGGGGTAAAATTGTTCTGGTGAGTAGATATTTACTGTATATATTTTCTGATTTATTTTATATTGTGTTACATAACTCTAAATTTTGTACCTTATACTTAAAGGCAGCAAATTAACAGTTATCATAGCTTGTCATTTTCTAGACTATGCTTGATACTATGATTACTACTGATTGTACTACTTTAACCAAAGTTACAAAGTTGTGATCAGCTGTTCTTCCTTATATGCCAATACCTAGATCATGGGGCAGGGGGGTCATAAACAATACCATGGTCTAGCACCAAAAAACTGGGTGCTAGGACACACATGCAGCAACCTCCCATTCCTAATAAAATGAAGAGGCAGGACCTTGGGACTGATTTAAAAGCCACCCTGAGAGGACATCTCTGAAAAGTAGTCATTTCCTAAAGAGACCTCAGTACTAGTAATAAAGCTACCCATCATAAGCAATGTAAAAGCATCAACACAGAAAACAAATTCTAAAAAAAAGCAGAAAATGAAAAAACATGGAAGCAAGATGAAACTCCAAACCTCCCGCTCACCCACGGCAAATCCAGGGGTCATTGAGGTGAAAGAAATCAAAAGCTACCCAGCTGAACTTTCTGAAATGGTAGCAGTGGAAGTAATAAAGCAGATGAATGAGTCTCTAGAAAAAAAGATCACAGGTAATTACACAGATATCTAAAATGATGATGACCATAATGAAGGACATGGTTAGTGAATCTAGAGCAGGTACAGACAAAAAATGGAGCTTAGGAAAGTAATGAAAACCATGACTGTCCAACATAGAAAAGAACTGGGTTCCCTAAAACAGATTCAAATTAAAAATTCTACTGAAAATATATGCAGCAGAATCAACCAGTGTGAAGATAGAATATAGATCCAGAAGACAGGTTTGTGGCTAGCAATTATCAAATGAAAGATTTCTTTAAAATAACAGGGACCACAAAAAAAAAAAAGTCAATCCAACAGCTGTTAGATGATGCAAAGAAGAATAATGTAAGATTAATGGAAACCAATGAAAATGTCAGAAGATAGCACAAAGGACATGCAAAACCTGTTCACAGAAGGAATAGCAGAAATCTCCCCAAGTGGGATAAGGCTACTATTCATAAATAGCAGAGCACCATAGACAACAATTGCTGTTCTCCCTGGCAACTGAATATGATGATTTTAAGACAAAGGGATGAAGATTTTAATGCACAGGTTTTGTAAAGGCGGGAGAGGAAAAGAGAAAAATGCCAAAAAAAAAAAAAAAAAAAAAAACCTCGAACAAATTGAGTCTCATGGGTTTGTGTAAACCTTTTGAGAGAAGCAGTAACCATGATTTCCATTCTATGGGTGGTAAAAGCCACCTTTCTGAGCTTGGGAACAGCCCCATGAGGTCTACTGGTAGATCCTCAAAGAATGTGAAATTATTTTAGAGATTTTAAGGCCTAAACAGAGAAATCCAATCACTTTATTTTCTTCTAAATTTGTAAATAGTCTAAGGCTATTAGATATATTATTAGATCTACTATTAAATTTGCAAATAATCTAAATAGACTAATAGTAAAGGTTTAGGTAAATTGCTATATTTAGGAATATATCATCCAAGCAAAAATAAACAGGTTTTCACTAATAAGTAAGAAAGTACTGAAAGTCAGAGGAGAATCCAATAACAGATGACTTCCAACTGTTCACGCCACAAATGTTAAGAGCTTACAGTGCAGCTTCAGAGAGATGGATCTACCCAAATACAGGTCCCTGACAAAATCAACAAAATAGAGAAAAGACACCTGACCCTGCCTGGACAGCCCTCAAAGGTTAGGATGGTTAAAAATTAAAACAGATATATCTGACATGAGATCAGAATGTACAATCCACACAATGAAAGATAGTATTTGCAATTCATTTATCTAGTGTGGGATTAATATACAGAATATATAAAGAACTCCTATAACTCAGCAATGAAAAATAACCCAATTCAAAATATATAAAGGAATAGAGTTTCCTCTAAAGAAGATGTACAAATAACCAACAAATACATGAAGAGATGTTCAGTATCACTAGTAATTACAGAAAGGAATTCAAAACCACAATGAGATTCTACTTCATACCCATTAGAATGATGACTGTTCTACAGAAAAGAACAAGTATTGGTGAGGATGTGGAAAAATTGGGACTCTTATGAACTGCTACTGAAAGTGTGAAACTGGACAGTTTTATGGAAAATGGTATAGCAGTTCCTCAAAAAATATTAAACATTTAATTTTTAAAATATTAAACATTTATCTCCACTTGTGGAGATAAAATGAAAGCAGATTGTCAAACAGACATCTGTACACCGTGTTCATGGCAACATTATTCATAACACCCTAAACACATCCACTGACGGGAAATGGGTAAACAAAATTTCCCATACACACACAATGGAGTATGATTCTGCCTCAAAGTAGAAAAGAAATTCTGAGGCTTGCTATAACATGAATGGAACTTGAAGACATTATACCAAGTGATTTAAGCCTGTCACAGAAAAGATGAACATCATATGATTCCAGTCACAGAGATACCTAGAGTAGCTGTATTTATAGAGACAGAGTAGGAGGGTGGTCAGCTGGGGCTGGGGGTGGAATGGGGAGTCCGGATTTAATGTTTTCAGTTTGAGAGAATGAAAAGTTCTGGAGATGGACGGTGGTGACGGTTTACAACGTTGTGAATGTACTTAACACTACTGAACACTACTACTTAAAATACCTAAAGTGTTAAAATTTTATGTCATGTATACTTTACCACCACCCCACACATGCACACACCTGTAACAAGTGGAGATGATTTTAAATGGTCTGGTTCCTATTCAGTCACAGCCATCTCCTAGGTGACCATCTTTCCTGTATCATGACCACCTTTACCTGCTTCCCACCCATTGTTCCCACCACGACATTCTCATCAAGGTCCCAGAGGAACACTGGGTCCTTATCCCCAGCAGTCAGAGAATTTGTGCTGGCAGGTGCCTCCCTGACAGCTCTTTCAGAGCTGTGCCACCTAGGCAGAGCAAATAATGGTCCCCAGTAGAACTGCAGAGACAGGGAGAGTTGAATCCCTCCCGCAGAGGAGGAGGCTCTGCTGCCACTGCGGGATCTCCCGGTGTCTCTTCACCTGAGAATGCTGAGTTCGTGGGGTGATGCCCCCCTCACTTCAGCTGACAGCACGGTAGATTTAGGAGCCACATCACCACCTTCAGTGGGAGGGTCCAAGCAGCTGTTCTCCTTTTCTTCTTCATTCTTCATTCTGTTAAAATCTCTGCTTTCTCTGCCCATAAACATGCCTCCCTATTCCCATTTTATCACACTAGTGAAATACGCCTACATTTGGGGATTTGGGAATTCTTCATTCTGTTAAAATCTCTGCTTTCTCTGCCCATAAACATGCCTCCCTACTCCCATTTTATCACACTAGTGAAATACGCCTACATTTGGGAATTTTTAAGAGTATTTAAAAAGGAGTCAGCATGAGTTTCTCCGTGCATTCCAGTTTGCAGAGGAGGCGGCAAGCTTTGAGGGGAAAAATGAGTGCAAACTCAGACGAGGCTGTGGCAGGCACAGCACACGTTACTGGGTCCTCAGTGTCTGCTCTGTCTTTGGCCTTGCTGTTGCCTTGTAAGACTGCTCAGGCTCTTTACCTTCGGAGCTTTGGACCCCAGATCACATTGACCATGGCCCTTCTCCATGAATCTGTGCCTCTGAGAGATGACAGCAAGGAGGATGTGATGACACGTTTCTCCCTATGACCCGCAAGGCTGACTTCCCGGGAAAATCAGTGTGCAGCCAGGTCCCACTGGACTTGCTTCTCAACCCTGGCAGTATATTTGAAGAAAAACATTGGTAAGTTGGTTTTTTTCTTTTTGTTTTTTTTTTTAGAGGGGTACTGGGAATCAGACTGAGGACCTTGTGCTTGCCAAGTAGGCCCTTGTGCCCCTGAGCTATATCCCTAGCCCCCAACATCAGTAAGTTTAACTTCCTTAACATTAAAAACTTCTACTGGGTGCTGCCTGCTTGTAATTTCAGATACTCAGGAGGCTGAGGCAGAAAGATCACAAGTTCAAGGTCAATCTGGGCAACATAAAGAGAGCCTATCTCAAAACCCAGAGCTGAGGATGCAGAGTTGGCAATGTAGCTCAGTGATGGCGATCCCCTGGGTGTTATTCCCATACCAGGGAGAAAAAGAAATCTAAAATTTCTGACCTGCAAAAGACATTGGTAAGAAGATGAAAATACAAGCCCCAGACTGGGTGAAAATATTTGCAAAACACATAGCTGATGAAGGTCTGGTATTCAAATTATACAACGAATTCTTAAAAACAACAATGAGAAAACAATTCGATGTAAAATGGGCAAAAGATCCGGACAGATACTTCATCAAGTGAAGTACGCAGATGGTGAATAAGCATGTGAAAAGACGCTCAGCATCGTATCATCAGCAATTGCAAATGAGTACAACAGTGCAGCACAGCTACATACCCACCGCCAGGGCTCAAATCGAAGACACTGATAACACCAAATGTCGGCAGGAATGTACGGCAACTGGCACCCTCAGTACTGGTCAGATACAAACTGAGGCAGCCATATGGAAGAGGGTTTGGCTTTTTTTTTTTTTTTTTGCAAAGCTAAACATACTCTTGAACCATAAGCTTCATCAACTGCACTCCTCGATATTTACCCAAGTAAAGGGAATCTTATCCAAGTGAAGGGAATCTTACGTCCATGCAGAAACCTGCCCAGGGAGGCTTATAGAAGCGATACGCATAACTGCTGAAATCTTAAGGCTACTGAGACATTTTTAGTAAGTCAATGAGTAAGCAAACTATACAGTGAGAGTGGGACATAACTGAGGTATTTAAGAAATGAGCCGTGAGAAGACAGTGGGGAAGCCCGGAGTGCATATCAGTAACACGCTGTGTGCCTCTCCCTAGGGTCCCGGGTCTGTCACTGACAGGAGACATTCTGAGAAAATGAGCATTATGTGCTCTCACTAGAGTGCAAACAGCACAGTGGGTACTTAACACAAAGCAAGATGATGTGGCTGGTACACACCCAGGCTGTGCCACAAAGACTACTGCCCCGGCCGCAGACCTGTCCGGCGTGTTACAGTGTGTGACAATGGTAATGAAGCGGTCCCGTATTTGCATTCCTAAACCTAGAAGAGCTACAGCAAGAATGCAGCCTAAAAGGTGAAAATGGCAGCCCTGCCACAGGCCCTGGCCGGAGCTCGCAGGGCGAGGAGTTGCCACGGGTCAGTCAGCGAGTGAGTGGGGAAAGTGGAAGACCAGGCCATGGCTGCACACCACCTCGGACAGCACGGACACTGCACTCAGGCTACACCCAACTCATAAAATACTTTTCTTTTTCCATAATGAATTTATCTTAGCTTACCATAACTGTCTTACTTTATAAACATTTTAGATATTTTTTAACTTTTCAACTCTTGTAATAACACAGTCTAAAATACAAAAACAGGCCAGGCGTGGTGGAGCAGGCCTGTAGTCCCAGCACTTGGGAGGCTGAGGCAGGAGGATTGCTACAAGTTTGAGACCAGCGTGGGCTACATAGTGAGCTCAAGGCCAGCCTGAACTGCATAGCAAGACCCTGTCTCAAAAAGATAAAAACTTAAAATAAAATAAAATACAAAAACATTGTATGGGTGCACAAAAATATTTTCTTTCTTTATGTCTGTATTCTATAAGCTTTCCTCTGCTAAAATACTTCAGTTAAAAACCAAGGTATTCATAGCAGCTAACCCTTGGACGCAGTCTGTCATGTCCATCGGGATATTTATGAATGGATAAAAAGATAATGTGGTACAAAGAAGGACAAGCGAGTCATTTGTAGGAAAAGGAATGCACCCTAGGACCATGTTAAGTGAAATAAATCAGACACCTCATTTTTAGTATTGCATGGTTTCTCTCAGACGAGAAACCCAAATCATAAATAAAGGGCAAACTACAAGAAAGGTCCTAGGAAACAGGGAGAGATCTTTTGCAAAAAGGAAGGGGATGAGAGAGGGCGGGGCGGGAAGTGCGGGGATGAGAAAGGCATGAAGACGGGTTGGGTGCAGCACCAGCTCCCTGTGGGAAATGAACACATGAATGGCACAGTGAAAAATTAAAACTGGGTTGGGGGACCAAGGCACAAACCCCCACATCAGCCTACACGGGGCAGGGCCATGCGTGTCACCGTCTCCACCTCTGCACCCTGTCTGAGTGACATGTGGAGCTGCTGAGGCGGCCTTCTGGGGTCCTCCTGAGGTCTCTTCCTGGGCATCGGCCTCACGGGTCAGAAAAATGGCTGTGCTGGTTTGTTTGCTTGTTTGCTTTTTCTCATCATCCATTTGCTGTAAGCAGACCCGGCACCACGAACATGCCTGTTCAGGTTTGTGTCTGGACACCCCCCAAAGCCATGTGGGTTTTTGGAAGTGGCTGAACCTACAGCGTGTGACTGATCCGTAGTGCAGTGCTGGGATTAGGGGTGCTGGGACCGGGCTGGTTGCTGGATGAGGCCACTGATTGGGTTGGCACCGCCCCCATCCCGGGAGACTGGATACACCATAAGGGACGGAAGGAGACCTGTCTCTCTGTCTCGTGTTGCTTTTGCTGTCTTCTGCCCCCAGGAACTGTTGCCCTCTGCCGTGCCACCCTGCCTTGCAGCCGGCTGATTTCGGACTGAGACCTCTGTGAACCGTGAGCTAGATCACCCTCCTCTCCTTTACATTTGGGTGTCCAGTACTGGTCTCAGCAGTGAGAAAAGCAGCAAGACATGCCCCTCTGCTGAGGAAAGCCTGTCCACGGCGCCTGTTCAAGGCATCGCGATCCTACTAAGCCCTTCGCTGTGAGTTTTCTATCAGGCTCTTCTTTGCCTTTTTCTGTTACTTCTTCTTCAGCCCGGCATTCCTGCTCCGGTCCCCGCCTCTCCCGCTTCCTCCGCTCCCAGGAACCCTCTCCCCGCTGCTCGGTGGTGCCCCGCACACAGGTGGGGGTGCTGCCATTCACCATAGCTGTGCTCGTTTTGCTGCCTCTCCTCCGCCCTGGCCAGTCGTCTGGAGCCGCAGGTGAGCCTTCTGGAACCGTCCTCCGGGCGTCCCTCGCACGCTGCTTGGTGATGTCCCCTCCAGCCCAGCAAGGTTTCCCACACAATCGCAGATGCGGTGACTCCCCCAGAACCCGCAGCTTCCCGCCACCACGCCCGTCTCCTGGGCGAGGCCGTCCTCGGGTCATCCGCCTTAAAACCTGCCGGATTTCTTGGATTTTACTGATTGGATCAAGGAGGTGGTTTTGAAGAAAGAATTACACCTTTGTTACTGGAATGAAGATCACCAGTGAAAGGAGAATACACAAGAGCATTACCAACATAAGCAAAATATTGAAAAATAGACTGTTCTCCAAAAGCACTTCTCTGTTCCGCAGATAAAGCCATTCGGGAGGGCATCTCGGGGGGATCGGGTCACACGGGCCCTGTCCCTGCTCAGTGGCACTGTGTGTGTGTGTGTGTGTGTGTGTGTGTGTGTGTGTTGCTGTGCTTGCGGGACCTGGGGTTCTCACAGTGCCGGGTCACACGCTGTTTCGATTCCTATCTCAGCATTGCTCCCAGGCAAGACTCTTTGCTTGATTCTAAAAGCCTCGAAACCTGGCGTTTGCTCGGGCTCCTTCTAGATGAAAGCCCTTCAGTCATCTTTTGTTTCAAAATAGGAAGGGTCCATTCACATTGAAGATTCACCATAGCAAGCAAATGTCCTCCGCAACCAGCTTATCTGGAGTTTCCAAAACTCCTTCAGCTGCTTTCACATCAGCGCGGGCAGACTTGGTCCTCGCACTCACACCGTGCGAGGAATCATTATTCCAGACTCCTGTAAGCCTCCCGGTGCTAGCAGCAGACCCCCACATCCCAGCTGGGTCTAGCCTTTTCTCTCAGCATCGCAAAGTTTTTGCTTAGCAGTGATGGTCTTGGCGCTAAGAGGAATTCATTCCTGTGCTTATCTTCGGCCCAGGTCGGCAGAAGTTTCTCCCCGCGGGGTCTTCTCAAATCCAGTTGGTGTCATAGCCCCCAGTGACGCAGGCTTTGATGGCTTCCACTGCCTTCTCCCCCCTCTTCAAGACTGCAGCTACCAGGTGTGATTGTATTATACGCTGAGTCTCTAAGTAAAGACGTTTATTACAGCGCAAGAAACATTGCCATCAATCACCCACAAAGTACCCCGCCCCGCATCTAACACACTTCACCACGTTCTTGGCACTCTGAAGCCGTTCTGAGTCAGCTTTCATGAGTGTGTCAACAAGCTGTGATCAAATATCCGGTGAAGGCTGCTGCCGAGCTCCACGCAAAGGCAAAGCGCCTCGTAAAAGCACGAGGTGTCCTCATCACCTCGCCCAACAGATTCGGGGCCACGAGACTCGCGGCCCTCCCACAAAGGCGAAATAACTACAACAGGCAAACGCTTTGAGTCCATTCAGGACATCGAGGCAGCCACCACAGCACCACTGAGCCACCACAGCACCACTGAAGATGATCATGAAAGAGGGCGGCCCAGAACTGTTCCGGAAACCCCAAGAACGTGGGGTGAGTGTGTCTGCAGCAGGGCGCTTCGAGGAGGATTAATGGCAATGTTTCTTTTACCGTAATAATTTTTAGTTTATACATTTGCCATGTTTTGATCACACCTGCCTGGGTGGAATGGGACATACCTGGCTAGAGGGTAATAAAAAGCTCTGGTTTTCCACCTTTGTAGTCCTTAGTAATTTTTTTATGGGGCTTGGGATGTAACCCAGGGCCTCGCTCATGCTAGCAGGTCTTTATATTATATCCATTTGTTTCACCGCCAAGCCTCTAGCCGGCAACATTAACAGCACATACATGATGGCAAACCTTTGAGAGCTTTCAGGGACGCAAGCGGCCGGCTGCGACACGCGTGCCAGAGGTTCGCCGCCACTGGCTTATGCTGTAAGTTCAGGGGCCGCCATGAACAGAATAACATAAAATTTAATCAAGGGCAGGAAAAAATGAAGCAATCGAGCAATGAAAGCACTCTGAAAGTGAAAGCAAGGAAAGTAACTGTATTTACATGTGGTAAACACTGGATGTGTGAGGCTGCTACCAGGGTAACACACAGTGTCTTACGGTAAAACACTCTGAGTAAGGGACTGGGGATTTAGCTCAGTGGCATGGTGCCTGCCTGGCAAGCGCAAGGTCGTGAGTTTGGTTCCCAGTACTGGAAAAATAACCAATAAAAATATAAACAATGATGCACTCCTTTGGGTTTGGGATTTAGCTCAGCGGCAAAAAGCGCCTGCCTGGCAAGCGCAAGGTCGTGAGTTCGGTTCCCAGTACCGGAGAAAAACCAAAAACCAAAATAAGTAAATAAATAAATAAATCAGGAAACAGAAAAAAATCAGACACCTTAAAAACACTCTGAGTAGAAATACCCTCCAATAGTGACTCAAAAGTGTGGTAGAGTAAATACGCGGACCAGTAACACAGACCCTCACTACCATGACCAGGTACTACTGACTGCACACGACGAAGAGTGAGCCTCAGGCTTGCACAGCTGGCAGCACCACAGGCCTCGCCACGCGTGTGTGAGTAGCACATTTCCCTGTGACATCACCGGGCAGCGGGAGTTTTTCAGTTCCATCACAACCTCATGGGACTGCCGCTGTCACACATTCGGTCCCCTGTTGACTGAGCGTCACCCCGTAACTTACAGCTGTGTATGACTTCTGGGAAAGACGAAACTACAGAGACACTGGAATGTGGCAGTTGCCAGGGGCTTGCAGGGAGAGAGGGAAGAATAAAATCTTCACTCAAGCGACGCTTACGGCGGTGAAGGTGCTCCGTGTGAGACTGTGATCGTGGACACACGTCATCACGCCTTTGTCAGAACCCGGCAGCGGACCATGCTGTCAACCGTGGATATCAGTGGATCAGAATGTGCCACGCGGGCTCTTCAGTCCCTGTGGGATGGCCACGTGCTTTTCACTCATTTTTCTCCTGTAAATCTAAACGTGCTTCTTAAAGACTACCAGTTTTTCAAACTATTGGAGCAAGTTTAAAAAATACCAGTGCATGGTCCCGCCTCAGGGGCTCTGGTTAGTTTGTAGCGGTGTGTGTATGAAATCCACAAATGCTTACCAAAGAGCAAGAAATGTCCCAAGTTGACTAAGATAAGAGTGCAGGACTTCCAGCCCTAACTGGTCAACTCACTTAAAAGCACACAGATGTGTTGGTACTTTGGTAAGTCACAAGCGCAGAGAGGACAGGAAGCCAAGCGCACCATCACATAGGAGTTATAAAAGCATCTCCGGCGAGAGGGTTAAGGTGCAAGATGGTCAGAGATTCAGAGAAGTGGGGTGTGTGTGTGTTTCTCAAATTTCCTTTCCTCAGAAGTGCTCAGGAGGGACTTTATGACCATAAATCCAAAGTTCAGATTTGCCTTGGGCTTTAGTCCCCAGCCGTCTCCTTTAGGGGTGGCTGAGCTCAGCAATGTGTCCGCTTTCTACTTTAAGGTTCTTGTGTCCTTGGACTTTTCTTCTGGGATTCCAGGTTTCTGCCGCAGCCCAGTCCTCGGTCACCAGGCCTTCAGGGTGACCCTGTTCCCCGCTTTCCTCCTCCCCAGGACCAGCCTCCCTGCCTGTTTCCCTGCTCTGCAGGCTTAGGGCCTCACACCAGCCCATCCTCTCCCTGGTCGGTCAGGGTCATCACGTCGCTCCTATAATGACCGACAGTGTGCGTCCAGCACCTCGTGTGTTCCTGCCCCTTGCCTCGCAAATCCCTCAGTGTCAGCAAAGCTTTATCTATAAGGGTGTTTGCCTTGTAGGGCGGCTAACAGAACAGAAGAAATCACTGTGAAAATATTTCCTGAATTTTCTTTTCTTCGTCCATGTTTGCAGTACATCATGTTTACCCTGCTGCGTGGAGTCAGCACACGCTCCCAGCGCACAAGCCTGGGGACCTCATGTTTCTAACACAAGCTCAGCATCTGTTCTGGAAATAAGAAGATAATGCATTCTGTATAGATCATGTCTCTCAACTTATTAAACAGAAACATTGACTGTGACACTTTTTATGTCCCAAAGGGAGCTCCTCACGATGTACACACTTCTCTCCATCCCTGAAGATGGATTCCCCTGCTCTCTGTGGCTCAGCACCGTTTACAAGGCTGGAGATACTGGGCTAAGGGGGAGCTGCCCTGGGCCTGGACATTTCACCCGCAAGCCTGTCTTCTTTGCCTTCTTGATGTTGGAAGTGGGGACCTACCTCGCCTTCCTTTTGGGACTCTGGGATGGATGTTTTTGGCATTTGTGGAAAGGATAGATAGATGCCTTCCAAAATCCACGCTCTCCTTCCTTGGAGAGGACTGTCACCGGGAAGAGACTGTATTCCATGCAGTTGGTGTTGCTGCGGGGCTGAGTATCTTTGTGACTCTTCTCTTGTTGCTGAGACAAAAGTACCCGACACGCCAAGTGAAAAGGGGAAAAGTTTATTTGGCTCACAATGTGTAAAGGTTTCAGTCCACAGTTGGCTGGGTCCAAGGCAGGACAACATGGCAGATGAGAAACAGATCATGTCAGCAGAAGACAGCAAAAGCAAACAGGGAAGGAAGGGACAAGACAACCCTCCTTCTGTCCCTTACACTGTATCCAGGCTACCAGGAATATGGTGGTACCAAACCAATCAGTGAACTGATCTAGTAATCACCCACCCTTAACCCTCACACCCTTAATGTTAGCACTGCACCATGTATCAACCACACAGCCGAGATCCAGCCACATGTGAAAAAGCCCCACCTCTGACTGCGTGAGGCTCCGGGGGGACATCCAGGCACAGGGATAGCTCAGGGTTAGTCGATGGGCGGTCCACAGTGCAGCTCCTTCCTGGACTGCCCAGACGACTGCATGGTGCTGCCCCGTGCCCCTTTTTCCTCGTCTGAAAAGCACGCAGCCCCCACGCAGCCCCAGCGGCTTGCGCCGAAGATGCCAAAGACTGCGCCACCCTCAGTCGGGAACGGCTGTGGGTGAGAGGCTCTCCTGCCAATCTCTTCGCTGACCAAACAGGTCTGTGAGGAAGAAGTACACTTCTGTTACCTCCAGCTTCTGAAAGTTCAACACCTGTTGGTTTTAGCACCTTGCATGGCCCTGACTCAGCCCTTCCTACATTGACGAACACTTCTATAAATGCTTCGGTACTTAGACAGAGTTGTTTTACACCACACACTCCAGGGCGAGAAAGACCTTTTTTATAGTAAAAAGCAAAGCGAAACAAATGCCTCGATTCATTTCAGAACCTGCTACAGGCTCACGTTGAGAGACGCAGGCTCCACCCTTCCCATGTGAGCACGCTTGAACGTGTTTGCGGTCCCTGTCCTGTGCTTGTGTGGATCTCTTCCGCTTACTAAGCAGTCACCATCATTTCTTTCAGCCTACATTCATCGGGTGTCGGCCACACGTCACGACTATCTGGACCTGGTAGAGTGGAACAGACCCTCACCCTGGAGGGCCTCCTGGAGCACGCCCCGCCTGCTTTGACGGAGCTCGCAGACGTTCGCATGGTTTCGCCTCTGGTGTGCAAGAGAACCTGGATCACTAGGAGCCCCACGCATCAGCACTAGCAGTCGTCTGCGGCATGTGCTCATGATTCCGTCTGTAAGCGGACAGCGTTCCCTGCCGTGGGAAGTTTGGGCCACAGGCCTCCCACGTAGGCTTTGCAGAAATTCCCCAGAGCCCAGTAACAGTGAGGACAGGAAGATGGCTGACGGGGGAGACTGCAGAGCGAAGGCAGCCCAGGCCCAGACCCACTCATCCCACAGCGCCGGCCTCCAGCTCGTCCCTTCCGGGGTCACCGGCTGCGAGCAAACGAAATGGGGCCTGGAGAGTAAACATTCTCGGAATCAATCCACCCGGCTCCCACAGCTTCAAAGGGCCGCGAGGAAACAACATGGCTTTCAGTTTGGTGTAAATGAAACAGAAACATGTGATGTAGGTTTCCACGAAAATAAACCCGGTTCCATGGGGAGAAGAGAAACAGCACCTGAGAGCCAGATGCCTTGGGTAGGACCTCACATGTACAGCCCGCAAGACTGCGGCAGAGCGGAGACCCTCGCATCCCTGTTCCTCCCTGCAGGGCCGGCCAGGCTCAGAGGCCTGCTCTGCAAGCTTGGATGAGTTTCCTGAAGTCTGGAATCTTTACTTGCAATTAGAGACACTTAGGAGTCTCTTAAAGTAAACTGATGGAGGGGGTGAAGGAGGGTAAAAGGAGGGAAGGAACGAGGAGGGGAGGGAAGGGTAAGGCGACAAGGAGTGAAAATTCGATGTCTCCTCAGAAAGCAAGGTTTGTATGTCCATCAGCATATGAATGGATAAAGGAAATGTATTTATGCACAATGGAGTACTACTGTGCCATAAATAAGGATAAATTTGAGTCTTCTGTAGGAAAACGGATGCACCATGAGGCCACAGTGTGAAGTGAAATAAATCAGACACACAAGCTTCAATATTGCATGCCTTCTCTTATATGAGAAACTCGAATTATAAAGAAAGAGCAAAATATAAGAAAATAAGAAACAGGGAGAGAGCAAAACCCTAACCCTAACCACCTCCAACAGTCTCGGCCTCTAATCCCACCCATCTCACTGCGGGAGACTCTGAGGGGAATACGTCATCCAGATGTGGAGGGAAGTGAATGCATGGCAGTATCTCCTGTCATCT